TTTTATTTATTATCTCAAATATTTGTTACTTCATATGTTATATTTAACAACATCCAGTGTTATTCAATAATAACATAAACAAATTTGATGAATAGATTGTTAATATTATACATTTAAATAGAGTAATCGTTTATTTTATTTTTCTCTTTTTTATTCATTTCAATTTATTTATTTTCATTATTCTTAAATTAACAATCTATTTGATATAAATATTCTTATTATATAATATTTCATATATTTTTATTGTTAATGATTGTTCTAACAATTTTATGAATAATAATCTTTTATTTTCATATAGTAATATTCAAATATATCAATTCCATTAAATAATTAATAAAATCAATATATATCAATATATTCAACCATTTAGATTTTTAAAAACTAAATAACTTTTATTTTTCTATTTATTATTATATTATTATTATATTATTATAATATTTTCTTTTATTTTCTCTTGATGTTTATTTTATCTAATATAAATATATAATAATAAAATGAATAACAGAAAAATAGAGTATTAAATTAAATTTATAATTTGAATAAATACAAATCAAATATAAATAGATAGAAATAATTACAATAACTATATTATTTGTTCTTGTTTCTTTTCATCATTTCTTCTTTTATATTCATTTTAAAATGTATTTTAATTTTAATTATTTACATTTGTAACGAAAATACATTATTTCATTAATATTCTTTTCATTATTTTATTATTTATATCATTTTTATTAACATATATCCTATATTTTCTGGTGAACATATTGTTCATTTTCTTTGAATGATATTCAGTTTCTTTATCTATTATTCTATTGACATTCTTAAATATTTTATTAGATTTATTTTTCAACTATTTTCTAACAACACATATATTTTGTTCAGTATTAGTATTGAGTATAAAATTTCTTTAATTTCTTGAATATAAGTCGATACTTTCACTTTCATTTGTGACTTTATTATTTCTAATAAATACCACATCATTGGAAGTAACATATAACTGTTATTTGTTTTTGTTCATATTTTAATTCAATATATGTTGATTAAATGTCATTCATTATTATTTATTTTGCATTACTTTATAAATATATTTATCTAATTTTTATCAGTGATTTTTCATTATATAAAACAGAATATTATTCTTATCTGCAACACAAACAATTAATATTATCTTATTTACTCTATCTAATTTGATCTTATTAACATTGACATTATTATGTTTATAAATAATAACAACATTTAATACTCAAACAATACCTAAAGAAATATACTGAACTGATAAATGATAGTAGTGTAATATATTTCTTTAGATTAATAAACAATAAAAACAAAAGGAATTAATATTTTTACTTAATTATTTTTCTTCCATTGAAATAACATAAACTAAGTTTTAAAAAAAAATTATTAAATTATTTGTTGTTATTGTCATCTTCATGGAAAGCAAAATAAATGAATGAAGCAATAATAATCATAGATGAAAACCAACAAAAAACAAGTGCAACTATATCTCCTTTTAATTAAGTAATTAGTGTTTTATAAAATTAAATAGAATGAATAAAAAAATATAATA